TAAGAGTCCATCCTACTAACCTCATCTTAATCTGATTACATCTGCAAGGACCCTATTTCCAAACAAGGTCACATTCACAGGTTCCAAAGGTTAGGACTCCAGCAAATATTTGGGGGAGGGGGACACAATTCAGTGCTAGCAGTGGCCCCTTCCTTCTCTCCCAACCACTCTGCCTTCCTGCCCCAGACTCAGCATCTCTCCCACTTCTATCCTTGCTCTCCACTCCCTTCAGGAATTCCACACTAAGATAAATTCCACACTAAGAACGCAGAATAACGTACACAGGCACCTCTGCAGAGTCCCAGCCCTAGGGAGAATAAAGAAGACCCTGGTGGAAAATAGCATCCACTCTTGACCTCTCCCTGTCCCCACCCCTGGGCCCTCTTCCTCCATGCTGCAGTGGTTCTCAACCTTCTGGCCCTTTAAATACAGTTCCTCATGTTGTGACCCAACCATAAAATTATTTTCGTTGCTACTTCATAACTGTAATGTTGCTACTGTTATGAATTGTAATGTAAATATCTGATATGCAGGATGGTCTTAGGCGACCCCTGTGAAAGGGTCGTTCGACCGCCAAAGGGGTTGCGACCCACAGGTTGAGAACTGCTGCTCCATGGCCTGCTAGTCCAGCCTGCTTTTGAGGTCGAGCTTCCCGTGCACTATAGGGCAACTTTCCTTTGAGGTGGGGCTATTTATTAGATCAGGATACTTTGCAACAAGTGCATGTATTTTAAAGTAATTTTTAAAGATTGTTAAAATTTTTTAAAACATTCTGGTAATAAAGCGATTATGCATTTTCCAAATCACCTTTATATATGGTCAGCACTGTAGGTTGGTAACCCCAACTTAGGAGGGGGTGTCTGTTTTCATACACCCATTGGGCAATAGAGGCAAGGCAAAGGATTGCTCTCTCCCCCCGCCAGGAAACAGGAGCCACAGTCTGGTCTGTTGTAGGAAACGCTGACACATCCACATGCCCTCTGGCAAGGCCAGTGAGCAGGCGGATGATGGCTAAAGCATTCTCAGTCCAGTCGCCACAGCCAGTGTCTCAAAAGGCCTGCCCTGTCCACAGGAAGAAACACGGGGGAAGGGGAGCACACGGATGTCAAAACCCAAGAATGGTCTGGGTGTGGGGCCAATTTAAAAGAACAAAACAGCCTGTCCTTGCCTCTTTAATGTCCACACTTGGAGTGCTGGCTCTAGATAAACAACTAGATGGCACAAACGGGCCCCCTTATTTCTCGCAGAAATAAGAATTCTATTACCTCATTCTACCCCTGTCTTTAACAAGGACCCTATTATACTTCAGGGTTTTCAAATTCCACCCAGAATTCCTTCATTAAAGCCAATCACAGTCATTTCCTGGGCAGGGGGAAGCATGCCAAAGGTAACAGGACCTGGAATCCGGGCAGCCACATTCAATAGGAAGTTAGTAATGGAGCGATCTGTATTTTTAGAGACTGGCCTTGTCGAAAGTGTGGTTTTTGGGACATTCTACCCCCTACTTCTTTAGTGGTTTCAGGTTAAGTGGCTGAAAACAAAGTCTGCAAAGGATGGACTGGTGAAAACTCATTTTTTATTCACTGCCTTTTTTTTTTTTTTTTTTTAATGTGTACTCCAGGGAAGATACTGCAACTGATTGCATCATGTGCCTTTATTTAGATTTTTTGGGGATGTGGCAATTTTCATGACCCTGAATGATTTTTAAAATTTAAAAAAGTTGTTAGATACTTTTTATCAGTTTCATTTGGTTGGGTTATTTCATTTCTAATTCATTTTCAACCAACTAATGTTCTAATTCTTTGCTAAGGTTTTCATAATTTGAAAGTTCTTAAGGGATTTGTTCCAAAGCAAATTGGTTAAATATGGAGGATCTCGTTCACAGAGTAATTCTGCTACACACCGTGATCTTACCATGTTCTTCGGCTGCCTCCTGCACGCCCCATACTGGGGATCGAGCCCGCAACCCGGGGAACGTGCCCTTGACTGGAATCAAACCTGGGACCCTTCAGTCCGCAGGCCAAGGGACGCTCTATCAACTGAGCCAAACTAGCTAGGACTGTTCCAACACTTTTTAAAGGTTTGCCCACATTTCACATTATTTTGATATTTTAAATTAAAAATATTTTGAATGTATACAAAGTTTAAAAAATGTAAAGGGTCCTGACCGGTTTGGCCCCGTGGATAGAGCGTCGGCCTGTGGACTCAAGGGTCCCAGGTTCGATTCCGGTCAAGGGCGTGTACCTTGGTTGTGGGCACATCCCCAGTGGGGAGTGTGCAGGAGGCAGCTGATCGATGTTTCTCTCTCATCGATGTTTCTGACTCTCTGTCCCTCCCCCTTCCTCTCTGTAAAAAATCAATAAAATATATTTAAAAGAATGTAAAGGATGAAAAGGAAGTGTCCTTCCCCTGTCTCCCAAAGGAAAGTCATTCCCGAGTTTTGAGTATTCTTCAGTGATCTGTGCACATCTAGGTATCTAGCTATACTTTTCCCATTTTTATTTTTTAAACTTCAAAATTCATTTTTGACCAATAATGCTTACTTTACCTATTAAACAAATTTTCTACCATTAAAAAATCTGTATAATTAATTTATATTTAAGCAGTTTTCAAAAAGCTTTCTCAGATAAAAAGCCTCCTACAGGAATGGTAATGTTTGAGGGGAAGTGACTGACAAAAACACTTATTTAATGTGTAAAACAAAGGTGAAAAATATTTAGACAAGTTCTCACTAATTTTCACACTCTAATAATGCAAATTAAACTACAATTTCATGTTACCATGCACCTATCAGGATGGTTAAAATTAAAATGCCTATCAAATACTGGTGAGGATGTGGAGAAATGGAACTCTCATACATTACCAGTGGGTATGTAAAATGGGACAATTACTTTGGAATATAGTTTACCAGTTTCTTACAAATCTAAACATACACTTAGCATCTGACTCAGAAATCCCACTCCTATTTTCCTGAGAAATGAAAACACATAGCCACAGAAAGACCTAACATTGGTAGCAGCTTTACTCATACCTGCCCCATAGTGGGAACAATCCAACCCAGACACATTCATTGGGGGGCATATCCACAGTGAAATACTCAACAATAAAGAACGAATTGCTGATACATTCAAGAACTTCAAAAATACTATGCTAGTTTGGCTAGTGTGGTTCAGTGGTTATGCATCGTTATAAACCAGGTCATGGTTTGATTCTCGGTCAGGGCACATGCCCAGGTTGCAGGCTCGACAACAGTAGGAGGCATGCAGGAGGCAGTTGATCAATGATTCTTTTTCATCATTGTTGCTTCTATCCCTCTCTGTGAAATCAATTTAAAAAATACTATACTAAGTGAAAAAAGCCAGATATGATTTCAATTTATATGAAACTCCAGAAAAGACAGATCTAAATTATAATGACAACAGACCAGTGATGGCCAGGGACATGGAGTGTGGACTGGGAAGTGGCACGAGGCAACCTTTTGGGGTGATGGAAATATCTTCTATCTTGCTTATGGCAATGGTTATATGGTGTACCTATTTGTCAAAATTTAGTGAACTGTACACTTAAGATGCATGCCTTTTACTGTGTGAAATTCAGACCTTAAGTTAATTTTAAAAAGTAGCAACAGAGAAGTCTTTGCTTGTGCAATATTACTATAGACTTGGTTCCAATCTTAGTTTCAACCCATAATTTTCAAATCACTTAACCAACTTCCTAATCTGCAAAATGGGGACACTACTAATTATCTGTAGTTTTACCTATTGCTAACTTTTATTTGTAACTCCAGAATCAGTACTTATGGTGCTTTTGTGGTCACTGGTGGACACGTACATGTGCAGAGCAACAAAAATTTTGACTTGCCTAACACACAATCCCAGCTGAGGTCAAAGCATCACTCTTGTTCAGCTACCTTAAACAAATATCCTTTTTGTGACATTCCTCACATTTTTGTGCTTTTACTGTTTCAAATGGCCCCCAAGCAGTGCTGAAAAGTGCTATCTAGTGTACCACAGCTTTTTCAAACTGCTGTCAACTTGAATGAGCTGATTTCCTCTTTTGTGTATTATTTTCTTTAGGTGTATTATCTTTCCTCAATAATGGCAAAAATAGAATTTCATTTTTTGAGCCACCCATCCTTCTTGAGAGCTGTATTGTTTCCAAATCTCCACGCATGAGATCAGAGATGTCTGAATTACTTGTAGATGGCTGCTATCTGTGACACAGACTTACTCATTTTAAAAAATTAATGTTATCGGAAATTTAATGTTATAAACATCAAGCTTTACTTGTATCATCATCTATTTCTACACAAAAGCCCAATTTAGGAACTGCAAACTTTGCTGTACACATCAGCCAACGTGTAATGATTTTAAAAGTTGAAAACCTGAAAATTTTTAAAAGTTGAGACTTTTGTTTTCTGTTCTCTTTAGGGCAGATTCCACACCAATTATTACTATTCTTTTTTTTTTACAATATATTTTATTTTTTTACAGGGAGGAGGGGAGGGGGATAGAGAGTCAGAAACATCAATGAGAGAGAAACATCGATCAGTTGCCTCCTGCACACCCCCCACTGGAGATGTGCCTGCAACCAAGGTACATGCCCTTGACTGGAATTGAACCTGGGACCTTTCAGTCCACAGGCCAACGCTCTATCCACTGAGCCAAACCAGTTAGGGCTATCATTACTATTCTGTATCGTTTCTTAAATTACTTGTTTTCCTTTTGTGGTTCAGAAGAGAAAATGTGTTTCATTTATTTTGACAAAACTCAAAAGAAAGATGATTTTCTTTAAAAAGTCACTTATTTCCTCCAAACAGAAAAAGGCAAAAAAGAAAAAAGGAAAAGAAAAATAATCTATTGTGAAGATCACTTTCTCCACGATTCTCAGTGTAGGACACAGCCAGTTTTGTTCTGTGTACTGAACCTGTTCTGATGGCCCATGATTATACAATAAGCCCTACACTGGCAATGACAAGGTAAGAAAAATTCAACACACACTTTGGTTTTATATGAAAGCATTTATTACATGTTGATAAAGAGGGTAGGATTAAAAGATTGATCTCACTGATTAATCCTATTTTCAATCCAAACAAGTCGCCCTGGCAGCCCACGTACCCCTTCAAGTCCCTGAATATTTTAAGCAGGCGCATGCACACACACACCACCTCAAATGAAAACTCCCCAAGATCTAGTGTAACTGAGCAGTCATTCAATCAGAGGAGGAGAGAAATAGAAACATCAATGATGAGAATCATTAATAGGCTGCCTCCTGCACGCCCCCTACTGGGGATTGAGCCCTCAACCGGGCATGTGCCCTTCACCAGAATTGAACCCGGGACCCTTCAGTCCGCAGGCTGATGCTCTATCCACTGAGCCAAACTGGCTAGGGCGTCATTATTATATTTTTCAGTCATATTTATATTTTAAAATTTAAAATAAAAAAAAATTAAAATCAAACTTTAAAAAAGGAAGCCGTCAGATTCAGCTCACCATCAATCTTTATAAGAATATCACACTACTCACATACAAGATTCAAGTGAATATGGACTTGGATGCCCTCGTTTCAAATAAGAACATGTTCTCACATAGGAAGGGAATTTCTCAACAAGCAACCTGGAGTTCAAGTTCTAGGCAGCTGCTCAGTTGTGACCATTTCAAGTACATAGCTCTGTTCTAAGTTTATGGGACAAATCATCTCTAAGCAAGCCATTAAAAATACCAGTTTCAAGTGGTTTTAGTTCTAATTAAGAATTAAGCACTTTATTGTTAGTTAAAACTGAAAACCCATTACCTTCTGGAAATGAAATACTCCTAAAAATATAGTTATTAGAGTATGACCTTAGGGGGAAGCACAAAGGCAGACATAGCACCTTTTACCCACACAGTTTGATGAATTTTATTTGACTCTTATATACCTAAATCAACCATCTTCCACAATCACCTCCCGTAATTGTAATGTTCCTACCATAACACCATCTTGGGGAAGTCTAATCTACTTCGAGCGAGAGCTCAAATCCCAAGACAATAATCCTACCAATTTACCTGATCTTTAAGTGATATTAGCATTCATTTGGGTCAAATGGTATTTGGAAAGCCAGGTTGCACAGGCAGAGGACTCCCCCAAATGGGATTTTCTGATGATAATTTGCCAGAGCTTGAGCTATAATTCTTGATGTATATAATAAAGTACATGTGCAAATCCCAAACTCCATTTATGGGATGCTTCTCTTTTTCAGTCATGCTTCATAGCTTCTCAAATGTTGCGTTCATTTTGGTTAAAGGTTTCAGCTTCTTTAAATGGTATTTTTAAATGAGATTTTTAGGTATTTGCATTCAAAGCTCCACAATATGGTATGGGCAGAGAGCCATACAAACAGGACTTGAAATGCCAGTGGTTCGGTGACTTAATCAATTAAAAACAAACCAACGAAAAAACCAAAACAGAGGTAATGTAACAGAAAGAAGGAACCTGGCTTATAATATCAGTATATCAAAACTATATCGCTAAATCAAGGGCAATGATCATAATTATCTAGATGAAAAAAAGTTATATATTTATAGAATATGAGTGCTAAAAGACACATTTCAAGATCAGTCAGTCCAATTTTCCTCCTTTTACAGGTACGGAAACTGAAGCCCAGAATTTAAGCGACTTGTCTGGGGTAAGCTAAGTTAATTCTTTTGCCTCTGTGTCCATATAAAAACCAGAACTTTATTGCGATAAAGAAGTGATACTGCACACTCTATAACCCAAGAGATAAAGAAACACAGAATCTCAATTTACCTTACAGTTTTGGGGCAAAAATTTGTATGAATGTGGCCATCGGTACTAAGAACACAGAAGATAAAGATATCTTGACTTTCCACTTATAGGTTGATGTTAAATTTGGTGTTTAATCAACACAATGAAGGGGAGTATGTAGGCAAAGCTTGTAGGCTTAACCAGCACTTGTTTTGACTGTGTCAATCAGGAACCTGGGCCACATAGAACCAATCCTTGCTTTCCCAGAACCAAAAGAAGCAATGTAGGTGGTGGGTATCTGTCAGAAGTCAGGGCTATTTAAGGCTATTCAGGAATTTGGCATGTTCTTCTCCTCTTGGTAACAGAGTTTCTCCTCCTATTTTTGGACCTGTCTTTTCCTAGAAAAATGAAAGTAGTTTCATAAGAAATGGGTCAACATTATTTGCATGGGTCACTAAAATCAGTCATCTTATAAATGCCATACCTACCTTTAGCATTCTGTCCCGCTCCCATTTGAAGAGGCCACAGTTACTGAAATAGAAGAGGAGATTTACTCAGCAGTCAGATATGGACCCACACACATACAGATCAGGCAGAAGCTGATCAAGGTGACACTCATATTACAGGCTATGGTCAAATGCTACTGAAAATACACACTCCAGTCATTTCAGAAATGGTCTTCAACTCTGTAATAAGCCAGATACATCAGAAATGGAATTTCTAACGATAGAATGGCAGACTTGTGCACATGGTAGGTGATGAATGCAACCGTGGTTCCTACTGACAGTCACTAAGATGACACTGGGGTTTAGGAAGCTAGCCTAAGGCTTACCCGACCCCTGTCTCTTTTTCTGGAACTAAAAGGTTGGGATAAAAAAGAATTAATCTTGACCAGCCAGCATGGCTCAGTGGTTGAGCATCGACCTATGAACCAGGAGGTCATGGTTTGATTCCCAGTCAGGGCATATGCCTGGGTTGCAGGCTCGATCCTGTGTGGGGTGTGCAGGAGGCAGCTCATCAATGATTCTCTCTCATCATTGATGTTTCTATCTCTCTCTCCCTCTCCCTTCCTTTCTGAAATCAATAATAATTGCCCTGACCGGTTTGGCTCAGTGGATTAGAGCATCGGCCTGCGGACTGAAGGGTCCCAGGTTCGATTCCAGTCAAGGGCATGTACCTTGGTTGCGGGCACATCCCCAGGAGGGATTGTGCAGAGGCAGCTGATCGATGTTTCTCTCTCATCGATATTTCTAACTCTCTATCCCCTCTCCTTTCCTCTCTGTAAAAAATCAATAAAATATATTTAAAAAATGAAATCAATAATAATAACATTGATAATAATACTAATAAAACGATTGATCTTTTTCTGGTCTGAATAATCTTTCCTCCTTTTTCATAATCCAAACAGGGTCACTCTCTTATTGCTCAAGTGGCCTAAAGATGCTTGTTCTCCTTTTTTAACTTGGTGAATGAGTCCCAACCCTGAGAAGGGATGTGGCTACTATGGGGAAAGTTTATCTTCTGTAGAATTTACTCTGGGGAAGAAAGAGAAGAACAGAAAATACAGAGAAAACATAGAAATATGTCTTACACTCGGGTCTGGGGCCTAGGGGACTGCCTTATCTGCCTCATTCTTCCTCCCTATCTAGTTTTGTAGTGGAAGCCGTGGCATTTACCTTTTCTTTTCTTTTTGTAATACAAGTGCCTGACTTAAGCTTTGATTGCTATTTCAAAGAGGCATCCACTTCAAAGATGGCTAACTCAACAAACACATTGCCAGCCCAGCTGCCGGCCTCCCCACATTGAGATTCCTTTGGTTTAGAGACCTCTTAATTTAAAAAATGACCATTTGGGCTACTTGTTTTCTCTTCCTGTGCTTTAAATTCCCCCTCTTACGTTTTAAACTCATCAATAGTGAGCCTTGGAAACCCCAGGCCGCACCCTTAACCCCAATAAAAGCAGGATCCCAGGCCAGTGTGCTGTCTCCAGGCTTTCCACAGGGACCTTGCTGTGTGGCCCCAGGTGTGCTGTGTAATATTTAGGTCTCATAAGTAATAAACCTGTATCTTTTCAGAGTTCCCTAATAGTTATTGCTGAAGGGCAGCTTGCAATCATAGTAAGAACTACTAGGGCTGCTCCAGCCACAACATTGGTTATTGATAGGCTGAGACCAATACAAAACAAAGTTAGATGATACTAGTATTACTAAAAAAAAAAAAAAAAGAAAATCACAGTTCTAGTCAGGGGTCAGCAAAAAAATTCAACCCATGGGCCAAATCCAGCCTGTACTTGTTTTCGTAAATAAAGTTTGATTTGAACAGAGCCACAATAGCAAAGCTGAGTAGTTGTGAAACAGACCATGTGGCCTCTTTGCAAAGCGTAATATATTTACTATCTGGCCTTTTACAGAAAGTGTCTGCCCACTTCTGCTCTAGATCTAGAATTGACAAGAGAAAGACCAGAGAGAGCAGCTACTCTTACAAAAATAAGTGTCACCTGGAAGCCAAAAAGGCATCTTGTGCTTCCATTTGTGAGCTGTACTTAACTGCTTATCCTTAATGAACAGAATTTCTCTGTACTCAAATGTTTTACAAAAGTTGTTGTCACAGTATTTTGGAGAAGTCCAGTAATATATACCTAGCTACTTAAAACAATTATCTAGAATGAACAATTCACAAATCGGCTCCTGACAAGGTGATGAACTAGTATGAAGTTCAGTTCAAGTCCCCTTCCTCCCAAATCAGACCTGGGATAACTTGAAGTGAGAGTGAAGCATGGGTTTCAGGAAACAAGAACAAAAACCAAACAAGAAACAAAAAGGTAGTGTGAATATTCTGGTGAGATATTCTTGGGAAGACTAAAGGTGATCCTAAAATTGCCTCAAATTCCAAAGGATTAATATCATACAAAGATTATGTCTTTTAAGAATCATGTAATAAAGTTAGAAATTAATAATAACGAAAATCAATCCTACATATTTAGAAATTAAACATTACTAACCCTTGAGTTCAAAAGGCAATCATCAGGGACATTAGGAAATATATTTAACTACACTTTAGACTGCTAGAGCAGGACTACTTAGAGGGATATGACTGGCAACATAGGTCTGTTTACACCAGCATCACCACAAACACGGGAAGACATGGTGGCCATGGCATTATGACAGATACCATGTCATGACTAACATGTGATTATGCAGCACATGTGACGGTAGATACATAGGGTGAGCACCGAATGGACCAGTGATTGTGTACTACAAGCTGCGTGTGATCAGCCACCTTGAACTCCAGAGGGTGTATTCATGGTGTGTTCTATGTGAATAACACCCAACACAATAATAGCTGTCTCTATATCTGAAGTCCCCCCAAAAATAAAAAGAAAACTCCTTAAGAGTAGAGGGAAATAATCCCATCTCCTAGCCCTGGGCAAATACACATATTCCCCAACCCACCTTATCCATACTTCATTGACTGATTCAACAAATGTTTCTGAGGACCTACTAGAGCAGCGGTTGCCAACCTTTCGGGCCTGACGGACCACTGGTTGGCGACCGCTGTACGAGAGGTCAGGCAATGTGTTTTGGGGATAAAGCAGTGAAGAGGGCAGGATCCCTTCTCTGCAGGGACTGTAAGAAGGCACGGAAATAAGGCTTGACTCTCACAAAGGATTGTCCAGTGTTTCAATGGGACAACATCACGTAAGAATTGAAAAAAGGGTTCAAGAAGTCCAGATGGGCCAAGAAACTCCAGGCAGTCCTCATACCTGCAATGCTTTTTGGGAAGCCTGTCAAGGGAGATGCATCTGTTTCCACAGGGACACTTGAAAAACCTTTTTATGCCGTCGTGCCAATGGTAGTCATGTTGCTCGCTGATGCAGGTCTCCAAAGGCTTGAAGTGGGTATAGGCACACTGCATAAAACCAACACACACGGTCAAGAGCTTTGAAGGAGAAACTTGTCCTCTCGTCATGATCCAGGTGCTTGCTAGTGGAGTGACCACCTTATCTTTCAGTTGCCATGAGCCCTGTGATTTCCTGGGTCCCTCATACCGATACCACCTTTTCTCATGTTTGCCTCAATTTCTAGTCAGGTACTAAGCACACGATAATCTTGTGACATCAAGACAATAGGAAGGGCAGGGGAAGAAAAATACTGGAAGCCTCTCAATAGCCTGGGCTGGGCTGTCCTGGGCTCACTGCAGTCCCTGGTTATGGGACACTGAGGCACGGGGCCCATTGAGGAAGTGGATCAGCAGCTCGGTCACTTTCTCTTACAAGGCCTCTGAAAGGATATAAGCTTACGAATCCTATTTTTTTAAGTAGCAAAACCAAGACAGATATTAAATAATTCACTTAATTTTGATTCTCAACAGAACTGAAGGAATAAGAAATGGTGGCTGAAGCTCGAAAAAAATGCCGGGATAGTACAATGTTAATTTCTGCTAATTACACTGAGTCTAGATAAATAATTCCAGACTTTGACAACCTCAACAAGTGCAGAGCAGCCCTGGCCCAGCTGGTTGGAGTGGGGTCTCATGAAGGTTGCAGGATTGATTCCCAGTCAGGGCACATATCCACATACCTAGGTTGCATGTTCAATCCCTGATTGGGGTGTGTATGGGAGGCAACCCATTGATGTTTCTCTCTCTAAGATAAAAAAGAAAATAAAAGTGCAGAGCAGAGTGATATGCCAGCTGTCGTAGGCAGAATAATGCTCCCCCCACACAAAGACGTACACACCTACCAGGTGATTTTAAGATAGGGAGGTTATCCTGGATTATGTGGGTGGGCCCAAAGGAATCACAAGATGTTCTTAAAAGTGGAAGGAGGTTTGAGTGATGCCATGAGAGGATCCAACCTGCCATTGCTGGCTTTGAAGAGGAAGGAAGAGGTCACAAACCAAGGAATATGGGTGGGATCTCAAAGCCAGGAAAGGCAAGGAAATGGTTTCTCCTTAGAGTCTCCAGAAAGGAATACAGCCCTGGACTTTAGCCCTGTTAAACCTACACAGACGTCTGACCTACAGAACTGTAAGGTAATAAATTTGTGTGTTTGTTTTTTAAATATACTTTTATTGATTTCAGAGAGGAAGGGAGACGGAGAGAGAAACATCGATGATGAGAGAGAATCATTGATGGGCTGCCTCCTGCATACCCCACACTAGGGATCAAGCCCAAAAACCAGGCATGTGTCCTGACCAGGAATCGAACCATGACCTCCTGGTTCGTAAGTTGATGCTCAACCACCGAGTCACGCTGGCTGGGCAATAAATTTGTCTTAAGCTACCACATCAGTGGGCATTTGTTAAGAGCAGAAACAGGAAACTAATACACTAGCTATGTCCTTAGGTTTGCCACTTTGTCAGAGTAAAAGCTGTCATCTGAGGTAAAACCTTTACTTATTTTCCAAGGTCTGAACTTTCTTAAGGAAGCCCTTTTAGTTGTGGCTGTTTCAGGGCCACTTCCTAAATGTAAAGGAAAATCTAAGGCTTTAGAAAGAATAAAGATATAAAAAATTGTTTTTGGTAAGCTAAGCCTCTTCCTCCTCTTACATGCAAATAAGGCTGACTAGCAGGCAGGGAGAAAATGACTGGTAATGATATAATATAGTGCTCAATAAGAGCTTTTTTGGGAGCCAGTTTTTTAAAAATTTGATTTTTTTTTTGAGAGAAAGAGAAAGAAACATTGACTTGTTGTTCCACCTATTCATGCATTCATTGGTTGATTCTTATATGTGCCCTGATTGGGGATTGACCCTGCAACCTTGTCTTATGGGAACAACACTCTAACCCACTAAGCCACCTGGCCAGAATGGGGGTGGGGAGTCATTTTTAAATTAATGTTGAGAAATAGGGAATTTATTATTTCTCACAGACTTAGGATAAAAATTCTGCAAACATAGACAATAATACAATTCACACTGCCTTGGGATTCAATTTAGTAAGTTAAGCCCTGAGTAGAAAGAGACAACAGTAATTGGTCATATCATGATATCCCAGATCAAGTTGTTCAAGCAAGGTCCCAGGAGCTGTGATCTGAGGATGTATGAGAAACTTGAGAAACACGTAATAACTTGGGTCCAATGGGCAAAGGGGAAGAGACGTTAAAGGCTTGTCTGCAGAACTGGGAGCTGAGGTCAAATGAGAAGAAAACCTCACTACAAATGCTCCCCCTTATCAGAGCTCACTGGACAGTGGACATAAAGCCAGCTCCTGGGCTATCGTAACAGTTTTGTTTCCAGTGTAAATAAATGGCTTAAGCAAGATCTGGTCACAAGATATGGCCCCACATCCCATAGATCACCATGTTCCGCTGAGTCACAGCAGCACAACACAGGGCCCACAGTCAGACCGTCCTCCTGCACTCACCGTCTTGCATGTCACCACTCGACATTTCACTTCTTTGATGTTTCTCATCTTTTCTTCCATTTGTTCTTTTTTCACCAGTGGCTCAAAATAGAGTTCTTGCAGCTCAGCCTCGGCCTGAAATGGCAAGGCATACAGGAGACTTTTACCAAATCCAACATATACTCAGACAACAGTTCAATAATAGAATGGAAGAAACTTCCTGTCAATGAGGACCACTTGATAATAGCTTGGTAAATGCAAACCAAGAGATAATCATAAGTAGACACAAATTCTTGACATGCAAAAAAAGGGTACAAGAGCATGTGATTTTTAAAACACTAAATACAAACTTAAAATGCTACCATTACTAACAGTGTTACCATGTCAAGTGTGCACCAGAAAGGAACTAGTCCTACTATCCCAATACAGACTCCAGCTATGGAAGGTACTCAATGCCTCCCCAGCAATGACAGCCCACTCTATTTTATACTCTTCTCCAGACCAAGTACTTGTTAGGAGTAATCCTGCCTGTTTGGAACAACAGGGAGGAGATATGAGGGCAGTGAGATATTTTTTAAAAATATACATATTTTATTGATTTTTTTACAGAGAGGAAGGGAGAGGGATAGAGAGTTAGAAACATCGATGAGAGAGAAACATTGATCAGCTGCCTCCTGCATACTCCCTGGGGATGTGCCCATTACCAAGGTACATGCCCTTGACCGGAATCAAACCTGGGACCCTTCAGTCCGCAGACCGATGCTCTATCCACTGAGCCAAACCGGTTAGGGCGGCAGTGAGATATTTACAGCAGAATGTGGTCACAGGTCTGGAGTTAGTGCAGCTAAGACATAAAGTCCCAGGGTCTTTGGTGGCCACAACAGGAAGAAGTTCAGCTCTACAGTCATTTGAGCATCTTTCCTGATTTCAAGTCCAGAAAAAAAGATATGCTATATAACCTTCATGTTAGTCATTTGCTAATCAAAAGAATAGCAGATCATTTAGAGTAGTGGCACTAAATGGGGGTGATTAGTGCCCCCAAGAGGACATTTGAAAATCTGTGGGCCTTAATCGGTTTGGCTCAGTGGATAGAGTATCGGCCCTTGGGCTGAAGGAAGGTTTCGGGTTCGATTCTGGTCAAGGGCATGGATCTTGGTTGATGGCTTGATCCCCAATAGGGGGCTTGCAGGAGGCAGCTGATCGATGTTTCTCTCTCATCAATGTTCCTAACTCTCTATCCCTCTCCCTTTCTCTCTGTAAAAATCAATAAAATATATAAAAAAAGAAAAAAAAGAAAATCTGTGGGAACACTTTTTTGTTATCTCAATAATTGCTACCCTTGCTATCAGCAGGGGCCAAGGCTGCTAAGCTATCTGCAATGCACAGAACAGTCCCCCATACAACAAAGGGTTTTCCTGAATGTTCTTCAGGACATGTGGATGAAAATCCGATTATCACCATTGAACCTAACTGCTTTCTATCAAACCCTACAATATGTGTGCATGGTTTTAATATACACTGAATATTCTAAGAGTGCATTTAGGCAACTCTTATGTATATGGAGGGACAACTGCACATTGGTGTCTTCAAAAGTTTCCCAGGATTATTCACCATTTTAGTTTTTTTTAAAAAAATCCCATTTTGAAAGAAACAGGCCCATGGTATTTATTTAAGTTACTAAGAAAACACATCTCTATGAGTCTTCCTTAATATCTGTCTCAAATATTTACAACACTTATAAATCTAACACTCTACTTCATACTTCAATATTTCTTCTAGGGTGTTGTGTCCATGTACTTACATAATAAAATACATATTTTTAATATAAATATTTCCCTCTTTCTTTTTTACATTACATTTTAGATATTAACATTTCAATAAAATTCAACTAGTTAGGTGATAACATCATCATAAATGTTATTTCAGGATAATAAGGGAACAATACAAAATACTTATTGTTAAAAAGGGGCACTGGAGTGTTGGGTTGATAGCTGCTGATTTAGAGCATTTGAAATGCCAATATAAAAATATTTGAATGGAAAAATCCCTTTCACATTGCAAGGCAGAAAACAGTAGATAGTGGTGATCCATTTTAAAAAAAATGTTAAGTTCACAAACTGACATGCAGCTACATCCTGGTTGAGGTAAAAGAAACAAATTCTTAGTCCCACAACAAAGCACTGCGAGTCTAATGGCAGCTCTACCATCTTTAATCTTTTGAGCTCTTACCTCCTTTAGGATCCCTGTGTGCTTCGATTTTGCTTTTAGAATTTTCTGAAATTCTTCAGATTCCAGGTAGGCAAGCTGTTCTCTCCTTTTTTTCCTGGCAGGCTCCAATTCATCCTCAGCTAGAGGAGAAAGAAAAAGCATCAGCCGGTATAGCCCATCTACTGTCATAAAACAGTGGGCCTTATCCACTCAGTTTCCTTCATTCTCTCTGTCTCTGCCCACCAGTCCCTTCAAACTTAATTCACTCCACTAGCTACCAGCAGAGGAAGGCTCTTAAGAAGCGAGCTGAGATGCAGAAACTAGAATATGGGAGGCAGCAAATTTGACCACTGAATTAAAATATTTTTCACCTTAAAACAGGTACACTGACTATGAAAAGAGATAACAAGTATCCTATTTACAAACTGATGTTAAAATGACATTGCCAACTTCAGTTTTTAAAATAAAAATAGGGCAATTCTAAACAAAGGAATTCTACTTCTTTCAAAGTAAACCTTTATATATATATATACATGCAAAGATCCAATGAGTAATCCTTTATTCAAGTTTTCAAATAGTGCATACTTTCAGTTTAATGCAATTATAAAAAACAAACAGTTCCAGTTGTGGAAATTCTATTTAGGTATTCTACCTAGAGGTAAATTGAAGTAAAATAATAACTTGATATCAGAAATGCTGGTTATGGCTTAAACACTTCCTTCTCTTTTACTGTGAACTCTGAAATCTGCAGTACCTTGCGGAGAGAATGTGGTATTCTTTTCTACACGTGCCTTCACTTCCAGGACATCCTCGGGGTAGTTTTTCTTCTTTTTAATGCTGTTTGGGTCTGTTTTTGAAAGAATTTGGCCTTTTGCCCTTAATTTGGTTATAGCAGCTAACTAGAAAAAAAGAGGAGGGGGAGATAAAAGTCTAAACAATGAGATAGGCATTTGTAGCTCCATATCCCTTTCCAGTTATTAACCAATGAATTCTGGCAGCTTTCAAATATAAATTGGCAAAATATCTTCATTTTATTTAACATTACTACTATTATTAAAATTTAAAAGTATGGGAGACAGGTCTTATAACTTAGTAAATGAAGTCTCAGCTTATTTAAATATCGTAAGTTTAACATCAGCTAGTCTATAGGGTTCTAGACCCCTAGAGGAACCACATAAACATTTTGGAAATTTGTTTTAGAATCAGACAGAATTAGGATAGAATTCCAGCTCTGTCACTTACTGGATTATAACCTTAGTTACTTAATTGTTCAGCCTCAGTTTCTACATTTCTAAAACAGGGATGACAGCACTTCCCTATCTTTGAGGGTTGTGTGAATGAAATGAGATAATGCATGTGAAACACACACTTGGACACAAAAAATAGCATTGGCACATCTATCACAGGGACAGTAACAGTGATGAAGACATGCAATTATTATTACTGTAGGTACAGCTTTGGCTTACAGCTCGCCTTTGCCTTCCATGTGGTTATTGCTGCTACTACAGCAAAGAGAAGATAACTCAAGACAGGGTGACTCAGGAAGGGGAGTGGTGGAACGTGCTGAGCAGTGGGGTTTTGAGCACTTCCACTTCAATCCGAGCAACTCGGTTATTATGTGTAAGATTTCTTTTAAAGGATTCTTTAAGCCACTATTTTACTATCTTGCCTCAATAATTTCAAGAATTTTTTTCCCTAATGCAAGTGTCTCCAGTTATAAAACAGTATCTTCTTCTAGGCTATCTCCTTCAGCCTGACAAAAGTGTTGAGATAATGGCTAATTTTCTTGGACTAAATTAATGGCATTATGTTGACATCATTTAAAATTTCACTGACTTTAACAATCATGATCAATAAATAGCTACTGCGTGGCTGTCATTCCTGATCATAGATATATAAAGTGAGAAACTCCAGCTATGTCTATGAAAAGCAAATTCAAACACTGAAGAAAACAAATACCAGTTACCTTTTTGGCTTCTGCTAAAGCACTCAGTTTTGGTTTTGGAGGTGGTGACTCATCGAAAAAGAGAACATCATCTCCTTCTGAGATGCCTCGCCCCAGCGTGGGCACCGGTGTGGGTGGGGTTGCTCCCAGCCTGGGGAACTCAGCCCCTGTTGGTGGAGACCGAGGGGGGGGCTGTCGAGAAGACGACGGCACAGCTGGGCTCGAGACCTCATTTGAGCTTTGTAAAAATCTTTAAAGAAATATGCAATCACACACTTTGCAAGCACAAAGTAACAGACTGAGAGACTGCAGGCAGGCCACCAGCTGATGAGTAGTTGTCAGTAAAATTTCCCTTCCTTGGTTAATAATTCAGATTAGCATGCTATTAAGAAGAATGCTAGTTTCATTAACTCTTCACTCCTCAGTTGTCTGATTTTTCATTGAAAAAGCTCTAATTGTTTTACCAATTTAGAACTGATCACTATTTTTTTAAAATATATTTTGTTGATTTCAGAGAGGAAAGGAGATGGGGAGAGAGAAATATCAATGATGAGAGAGAATCATCGATGGGCTGCCTCCTGCACGCCCCCCACTGGGGATTGAGCCCGCAACCCAGGCATGTGCCCTTGGCTGGAATCGAACCCGGGACCCCTCAGTCCGCAGGCCGATGCTCTATCCACTGAGCCAAACCATCTAGGGCACTGATCACTATTTTTATCAATTAGCTTTCTAGTGGGTGCTGTATATAGCAGCAGTCGCCAACTGGTGGTCCACGGACCACTGGTGGTCCGTGGGGTCCAAAAGGTTGGCGACTGCTGGTCTATAGAACACAGCCCTGAAGGTGAGCTATGGACTATATTCCTAGGCCTCTGATTAGTCTAAGAATTCACCTAGATCTTTAGGAATTTACCAAATCTCTCTGTATTTTAGGAACAGCTGAGACACTTAACACAGTGCTCAAGGTACATGTTAAGCACCTGTACGTACTTGTTACCATTACTATCATCTTATTACTATTCAGATAATTTGAGCTAAAGAATCTTTGGGATAATCACTTAGTAAGTCATATAATGTCTAATCACTGGATTGTATAACTGAAACTAATATATGTCAACTGTAATTGAAAAATAAAAATTTATTTAAAGTAAAAAAAAAAGGGTCTTTGATTAATTTACCTTCCATATTCATTCCCACTTAATTTTGTCTCTAAAATGACTTCATTTTCAGTGCCTCATTTTTGTCATTTACCTCAACAACTACAAAAACTACTCATTGTGCGACCTGTAATTAAAAACCTAATTGTGCCAAACTAAGAAACAGGAGCCAAACACACTTTCCCCTTTCCCCAAACCCTTTTCAGATGTGCACTATAGATAAGGGTCCTTTCTTTTCCACGGTGATATTAATTACTGTAACCTGTACCACTCAGTCTCAGGATTCACTAACATAAGTCAGAAACATGTAACTTTAAATGCTATCTATCTAGGTTATGTCAAAATTATTTTAACACTTTTAAAAATTAAAAAGATATCCAACCATCCAAAATGTAAAGTGCATTTTTGAAATCTCTGAAGATATTTTGAGGATTCCTGAGATGAGTTATCCAAGCAGGGATATTAAATGTTACTCTTACCGTTTCTCCATTTCTTCTGATTTCCTCTTCCTCATCTCCAACATAAGCTGCTTCTGTTGCTTCAGGAGGGCTGATGCCGAGATAGACTGGAAAGCAGGTTTTGAGCTTCCCATGATCCCTAAAACACAAGTCATAGATTGAGGGGATTCTGAGAGGCAGCGGGAACTCAGATATGAATGCTAAGCAGGTACAAGCTGACTCTACCTGATGATTTGGCTTTGGCTAAATGTTGTTTCAAGTTTCTGGCTCCAAATGTGGGCAAGTCCATCAATTCTCTGAATTCCTCAGAGCAAGACAAGCTTTTCTGGGCTATTCCTGGAATATACAAACATCAGCTTTAGAGGATCTGAAATTTAAACCCTTTGATGTTATGTGACATTACTTTTATTTTATTTTTTAAATATATTTTTATTGACTTCAGAGAAGGGAGAGATTGAAACATCAATGATGAGAATCACTGATCGGCTGCTTCCTGCATGCCCCTACTAGGGATCGAGCCTGCAACCCAGGCATGTGCCCTTGACCGGAATCGAACCTGGGACTTCAGTCCCCAGGCCGATGCTCTATCCACTGAGCCAAACCAGCCAGGCCAGGGCTGACATTACTTTTAAACTCTGCATTCATAACTTACGTCATTTGTAAATGAACTAGATGGAATGCCAAGAGAAAAAAGGATCCTTAACCTCTAATCAGACTAGTAGGACAAGGGGATGGCAAATATAACTTATTTTGAGTAATGATTAGAATACTCATATCTGTGGGGTCACATCATACACTATTTCTGGAATATGCACTATGGATAAGGGTCCACACTAGGCCCTGACTGCTGTTAAATGAATAAAGCCCCGCCCTAGCCAGCTTGGCTCAGCGGACAGAGCATTGGCCTGTGGACTGAAAGATCCCGGGTTCGATTCCGGCCAAGGGCACATGCCTGGGTTGCGGGCTCGATCCCCAGTGGGGGGTGTGCAGGAGACAGCCGATCAATGATTCTCTCATCATTGATGTTTCTCTCTCTCTCTCTCCTTCTCCTTTCCTCTCTGAAATCAATAAAGAAATATATTTAAATAAATAAATAAATAAATAAATGAATGAATGAATGAATAAAGCCCCAAGTACAGGGTGAAGGTAGCATTTTCTGATCTAGATCTGTTTTAATGAAAGAAAACAGATGGGTTTGATTAGGAACATGATACTAATGATTCTAATACTGGACATTAGAGTTAGACCCAGATACATCAAGAAATTTTTAAAAGCATACTAAGCTAAGACACAGTCAAGATGAACATGCTGTTTTTTCTTAAGATGCTGCCAACTGAACTTGATTCCTTCAGCTTAGGCCATATTACTAAGATAGTGAGGAGTGGATACTCATAATTTAGAGTACAAAATGTGACCATTTTTAATCCTAAAGACTACACATTTAAGCAACAGAAAGAAATGTAGTTTTGAGAAACAAAGTTACCGAGTTTTTGTTGAGTTTCCTGAATGATCAAATCTGTGCCCTTCACGACCAGATTAGTCAGAGTGGTTTGAATCTTCTTTTTAGGAGCACCAGCTGCTGCACTGTAATGACAAGTCACCCCCAAAGGAAAATCACTGAACTTCAGTGTTCTGATAAAGTGAAGAAGGCACAGAAGTATGCATAGTTTCTCAAAACAGCATATAACTAGACTCTTACTATCATGACCCTATAGCATAACTGGTGAAAGCATTGTATCACGGATGTGAAAAACAGCAACATGCAAATTTGCTTGAGGCCATCTGGAAGGAAAATTTGACAAAAGAAATAAAAAATATGCCAACACTTTAGTCAAGAAATCTAAGGATTTATCTTAGAATAATTGACTATTCAAAAAACAGGATATTAACAAAAGCTTTATAACATTAAAAATCAGAAACACCATTAAGGTTTAACCATAGGAAATTGTGTAAATTATTGCAGAGTCATGTAAAAGAATACTATGTAGCCACTAAAAATAATGCCACAAGTAAATATTTGATAAAGAAAACATTATTTTGTTAAAAAAAAGTTATTAACTAGATACAGTATGATTTCATTTTAAATTACTAAAAATTTATACATATGAAAAAATATAAACCACCTAGAAGCAGCTATAACAAGGAGCTAACATATACATACATATATATTTTATTTTATTATTATTATTTTTTAAAAATATATTTTATTGATTTTACAAAGAAGGGAGAGGGATAGAGAGTTAGAAACATCCATGAGATTGGCTGCCTCCTGCACGCCCCCTACTGGGGATGTGCCTGCAACCAAGGTACATGCCCTTGACCGGAATCGAACCTGGGACCCTTCAGTCCGCAGGCCGACGCTCTATCCACTGAGCCAAAGCAGTCAGGGCAACATACATATATATTTTAAAATAACGTTTATTGCTTTTTGCAGTTTGGAAAATCACAGAAACTATTTCTAATTTAAAAATGAGCTTGATATTACAAAATAGGCAGGAAGTGTGAGTCCTCTTGCCTAATTTCTGTTGCACATGGGACAAAATCTATGCTTTGTTCTTGGATCAACTATAGCTCCCTTGTGCCAAGTCCACAGACATCACGTACCCAGATGTGCTTTTCACAATAAGGGAACGGTCATTGATCACCTACTCAGGGACTCTGGAGAGGCTGATCCCCAGAAAAGAGGCGACAAACGCCTGCCTTCCATGCCCCTTTGTGAAGCTGCATATTCATTCACTGAATTAAATACGGATTTCAAGAGGTCTGCAATCTTACTCTAATCATACATAATAAGGGAAATGATTTAAAGGATGTCAACACAATGATTAACAGTCTTTTAACTACCAAATAATCAGCCCCTGACAAAGTTCCACTATTCACATTAGAACCCAAACAGGAAGCATGGGTTTTTTGTTAAAGACCATCGTGACATGGCTCAATTTCTCCCTGTTCTGTGGCTTTTCTCTCTACCTGGGAATAAAAGAGGCCCTCATCTATTAAAGATAAAACCTGCACAACTCTTCTAGGACCATTACAGAAATGTACAACCACTAGGTTTATTCTTATCAGATAAGCAAGGTCCTGGTCTCAAAGGCAGCTCAAGAATGTCTTACACTGAGGCTGCATATGATGCTGAAGAAACCCCTCCATAGTAAAAACCATCCTGACACAGCCGTTCTCTCAGACTGATGCCTTTGCTGGCAAACTTCTTTGGAATTCGTCCTCCGGAGAAGGTGGACTGCAAGTCAGCTCGCTTGGCACTGAGCTTCTTATACTGGGCCTGAATGTGATACTGACAGTACTCGCAGTCCTTCTGCAAAAAGGAAGAGAGGCTGCCTCAGGGTTAGGGTAACAGTCCAGAAAACAATGTACACCCACAGGGTCCCTTTCTCCCAGCTTTGTGAGACATCATTCTGTGTGCAGAGCCCTCCCTACTGACCTCCAAAGCCATTTGCAAAGTGTAGTCATGCAGTGAACAGGGGAAAGAAGTTCTCTTAAATTCTAACTAAAGCACTAATTAGGTTAAAAAAAGTGATATAGTTCACTCCCTTTGCACTCGTTCTACAATCAAAATAACACCAAGTGAAAGAAGTCAGACACAAAAGGTCACATAACATATTGTATGCTTCCTCATATGTCACATATCCAGAGCAGGCAAATCCAGAGACAGGAAGCAGGTTAGAGGTCACCAGGAGAAGGAGGTAAGGGGGATGAGAAATGTTTTTATGGGGTGATGAAAAGGTTTTGAAACTAGAAAGCTGCTGGTTGCACAACAGTGAATATACTAAATAACACTGAAGTGTACATTTAAAATGGTTGATTGTATGTTATGTGATTTTTACCTCAATAAAAATTAATTTAAAAAAATAAGACAAATCGGCTTCTAGTGAGATTTTTCTATTTTTTCTGGTTGACTCTTGGACAAATGTTCCTTCAGTGAAAGGAACAAAAGAGAAACAGCATACTATTATTCTACTGGGTGAGCCCTCAGATATGGTAACAATGCTCACTAGTTCATCTGCGAAGCAGGAATGAGGAAAAAAACCGAGATGAAACCAAAATCTGTCATTTAATCCTTTCAAAAAGCTCTACGACAGTGGTTCTCAACCTTCCTAATGCCGTGACCCTTTAATACAGTTCCTCATGTTGTGGTGACCCCCAATTTCATTGTTACAAATAGAACATAATTAAAGCATAGTGATTAATCACAAAAACAATATGTAATTATATATGTGTTTTCCGATGGTCTTAGGCGACCCCTGTGAAACGGTCGTTCGACCCTCCCCCCAAAAGGGGTCACGACCCACAGGTTGAGAACCGCTGGACTAGATGGAGAGCAGGCTGACAGCTGTTGTGGGAGGGCGGGGTAGGAATTTGGGAGGCTGGAGTTGGTGGTGGAGGGACTGAGCAAAAAAGAAAAGAAAAAAGAAAGAAAAAAACCTCATGGACATGGATAATAGTGTGGTGATTACCAGAGGCAACGGGGGACTTTGGAAAGGTAGAAGAGGGTATTGGTGGGATAAATGGTGATGGAAGGAAACTTGACTTGGGGTAGTGAACACACAGTGCAATATACAGATGATGTACTACAGAATTGTACATCTAAAACCTATATCAACCCATGTCACCCCAATAAATTAAAAGAAAAAAAAAACAGCCAACATAATTATAACCATCAGGTGTGAATTAATCAAAATTATACCTTTCTTTTTTTTAAGATTGGGAAAAAATATATGTTTTGGTGTGCCGCAGAATTTTAGTAATTAGTTTATGTGTGCCATGAGATGAAAAAGGTTGAAAATTGCTGCACTATATGAAATGTCCAGAACAGGCAAATTCAAAGAGATAGAGGTTAGATTAGAGCTTACCGGGGGCTGGATGAAGAGAAGAATGGGGAGTGGCTGCTAATGGGCATGGGTGTTTTTTTGGGGGGAGGGGGGTAATTGAAAAATGTTCTAAAATTACATAGTGATGAAGGTTGCACAACTCTGAATATATTAAAAATTATTAAATTGTACACTTTAAAAAAGTGAATTGTATAGGTGAATTATATCTCAATGAAGCTATTTTTTTTTTAAACTCTAAGAGAAGGTATAGTAAGCATAGACTAAACTAAGGTGTGCAGTGTATTACATCATAGTGTTTGATCTCTGGCCCCACAAAGAATGGATAAAAGAATGGTGTAAGTTTAGAATTGAGGGTGAACTAAAATTCTGTTTCTTATACCTCCTAGTCAGCTGGCAATAAAAGATAACTTTCCTAAGAGGTGAAATCCTTCCCCTACTCTCAGCTTTTCAAATTGGCAATTATTAACCACACATTCAATTTTCTCACTTTGATGCTTCCTGTTATGTAGGAAACTCAGTTCCAAAGTGGTTGTCACCACTAAAGTACCTATAATTTATTCCTATTAATTCCTCTCTTTAGCAGAAAACATCCTAACAAGGCTGAAACCAACCAAATTAACAGTCTGTGTACATGGTTCTCCATTCTTCTTCTTTGCTTTACAGGTTCCCAGGTCAAGAGCTTCACCCATAATTAAGATCTTTTGAGGATGATCAATAGATAAGCACACCTGTAGAAAAGAAGTGGAATGGGAGTTAAAAGCAGATGAAAATATGATCTTTTATCAGCTAGAATGGATAAAAGAATGGTTGGTGTGAGTTAAGAAGTCAGGCTCAAGGAATTTGAAGCCAGTGCCCTATAAAAGTTTTAGAAATGGGAGGTGTAGAAGACATATTTAGTTCTCTACCAATATCCATTCTCTCCTGTGTCTTTGCTATCAAAATCTTGATTTTATTTTGGTTGGCAAAGGCTGAGTATAAGGTAATGGATCCTATTCCCAGTTTTCCCAGCACTCCTTACATATTGCAATGGTCATGTGACTATATTCTTTCTGACCAATGAGACTAAAGCTGGGATTGGTACAGAAGGTTTGGGGAAGCTTTGGCTTTACTGATAAAAGCAGATAGAGGAGGTTGGCTCAGTTCCGGCTTGAATGGAGAGGTGATGGCAAGAGCTTCAAAGCCAAGAGGAAAAGAGGAAAAGGCTGAGAGACTAGCAGGCATTGGTCCTGATATCACTACAGTGCCTATGTCTAGGTTTTTAAAAATTATGTGAGAAAAACAAACCCCACTGTTTACTGTAAAAAGAAACTATAGTGAAGTTTTCCTGTTACTTGTAGCCAAACCACATTGGAACCAATAGGTGAAGATTTGTTGCTATTCTCTGGTGAAAATAAGGAATGAAAAAACTTTGTCTCTCAATATTCCTGATAATAATAATCTGTCTACAACAAAGTTTAAAGTGTAGCTTCTTGCTGGGTCAGCTGAAGAAATGGTATGTCCCATTCACACCATATTAAGATTTACAATTTACTAGTGCAGCGGTCCTCAACCTGTGGGTCGCGACCCCTTTGGGGGGGGGGGAGTTGAACGGCCCTTTCACAGGGGTCACCTAAGACCATCGGAAAACACATATATAATTACATATTGTTTTTGTGATTAATCACTATGCTTTAATTATGTTCAATTTGTAACCATGAAAATACATCCTGCATATCAGATATTTACATTACGATTCATAACAGTAGCAAAATTACAGTTATGAAGTAGCAACAAAAATAATTTTATGGTTGGGGGTCACAACATGAGGAACTGTATTAAAGGGTTGCAGCATTAGGAAGGTTGAGAACCACTGTACTAGAGAATCAGTGGATAGTACCAAAACTCTAATGATGATGCTTAAGAAGGTAAAAATTCACTATGATTCTAAGTTGCAACTATGGTTGTACTAATCAATGGAGCAAAGTCCTCTCAACCATCAAACTATAAGACCTTGCCATCTTGATATACCATGGAAATTTATGAAGGAGAGCTAAGGAGACCTGAGCTAAGAGTTAAAAAAACTCCAGGAAACTTGAAACTAATTCAAAAGATATAATGAAAGAAGTTGATACAAAACAATTTAGAGCAGGTGGAAAATTCAGAATACTGGTGGGTGAGGAATGAACAAGCAAGCAAAAAAATAGATTAACGGAGGTAATACTTTAAAGGCATGATTTATTATCTGAAAGTAGACCACTACAAATCTTTTTGACAGAATTTGACTAAGTTGCAAAGGTATTTCCCCCAATAATCACAGAAACAGATTCTTACCTCCTCTGAACCATCCTTGGGCTTCATGGGGTTAGCATTGAGTAGCCCTATGACGGTACCCTGTTCAGTCTTCCAGAGTTCTTTGTGAACTTCTCCAAACAAGAACAATGACACATACCGTGTCAGGTCACGAAGATCATTTAGTCTCCAGATGCTAAATGTTTTCCCCTGGAACAAATATTTATTCTTAATTTTAATGATTTTTGAATGGGGTACACTGCCTCCATTTACAGTTCAAGTGTTCTGTTGTGGAAAAATACATAACTATAATCCACCCTAAATATATAATCATCAGAATTTCTGTTAATTATAAATTAATCCTTTCTCTAGGCTTTAGTACTACCCTTTTCATTTTAGAGATGAAGGTAAAGTTAAGGCAAACCAGTAGCAAAATTGTTACTAGAGTCTCTAATTCTCAGGTCTAAATAGTCAATGGGATAGCAGCACTGCCTTTCTAATCTCTCACTCAAAACATTCAAACACACACACTCATGTGCATATCACAGATATAAATTTGATAACCTTATCACTGATTAATTAAAATTACAATGAGATATCACCTCACACCTGCCAGAATTGCTACCATTAGTAAATCAACAAACAAGTGCTGAAAGGATGTGGAGAAAAGGAACCCTTATGCAATGCTGGTGGGAATGCAGACTGGTGCAGGCACTTGGAAAACAGTGTGGAGTATTCTAAAAATATTAAAAATGGAACTGCCATTTGACCCAGTGATCCCACTTCTGGGAATATATCCTAAGAATCCCAAAATACCAATTAGAAAGATATATGCGCCCCTATGTTCATAGCAGTGTTATTTACAATACCTAAGATCTGAAAATAGCCCAGTGCTCATCAAAAGATGAGTAGATAAAAAAGTTATGACACCTTTACACAATGGAATACTATGCGGCTGTAAAAATAAGAAGGGTCTCTTACCCTATGCAACAGCATGGATGGACCTGGAGAGTGTTATGCTAAGCGAAATAAGCCAGTCAGAGAAAGACAAATACCACATGATCTCACTTATGTGGAATCTAATGAATAAAATAAACTGATAAACAAAATAGGTCCAGAAGTATGGATGCATGGAATGGAATGACAGATCTGAGGGGAGGGGGGTCAGGGAGATGAAAAAAGATTAACCCAAAAAACAAACAGACAATAGTGCAGTGCAGGCAGGGTGGAGGGGAGCAAAAAGGGGGGAAAATGGGGGACATATGTAATACTGTAAATAAATAAATAAATAAATAAATAAATAAATAAATAAATAAAATGGCTTACACTGTTACAGCTCTGTGGAGTGACTTTCTTCAATATAACCCCAAATGTTACCCAGTCTACTTCTTCTAGCTTTTCACTTGCCATCTTTTCCTTGAGCTGAGACAGTCTGATCAGTTTTCGACCTGTCATTTTCTTGTTCATTTCTGTGGAGGACACTCGAGGCCGTCTGCGTCAAGAAATCAGCAATTAGTAGACCATCTATATATATAAAACCCTAATGTGCAAATAGACTGAACAGCAGAACAATCGAACAACCAGTTGCTATGACGTGCACTGACCACCAGGGGGCGTGTGTGGAACACGGCGGGTGTTGACCGCGGTGGGATGGTGAACAGGAGAGCGGGGGTGCCAGACCAGAGTGCCAGATGCTGTCATCGGGGTGAGCCTCTCGTGGTTACTGAAAATTCTTTGCTCCCTTGTGCCGCGGTCCCGCCTGGCACTTGCACCCACTGATGGCTCTGGAGCCTCCACTTGCACCCACTGCCAGCGCCAGTCCTGCCTGCACCCGCTGCTGGCGCCAGCCCCAATCGCTCCATGCTGTCAGCGGGTGCGAGCAGGGCTGGCGCTGTCAGCACATGGGAGTGGCGGCAGCGGGAGTGGGGCTGCCAGCAGATAGGGAACCTGGGGCCATGGTGGGAGGGGCTGGGCGGGGGCACAGGGGATGGGCCAAGACCCACCCCTGTGCCCACCACAGCCTCACTGCCCACAGTTCCTCTCAAGGTGCACGGATTCATGCACTGGGCCTCTAGTGTGTGTGTGTGTGTGTGTGTGTGTGTGTGTGTGTGTGTCTCTCTCTCTCTCTCTCTCTCTCTCCTATCTAATAATAGAGAAACATGGTAATTAGCTGTAACTCCACTACCCTTCCCATTGGCTAATCAGGGCAATATGCAAATCAACTGCCAACCAAGATGGCGGCTGGCAGCCAGGCAGCTTGAAGCGAACAGGAGGCTTGCTTGCTTCAGTGACGGAGGAAGCCAATGTTCCCCGCCTGCCTTGCCGGCCTCTGAGCTTGCAGTTTAAGAAACAGTGTTACAAATATAGAAGCTAAACAAAACCCCAGAAACCTGCTTTCAGCCAGCCGGGCTACAGCCAGCAGGACCGCAACATTGTTTCAATTATAGAACAAACGCAGATCCCTGCTTTCAGCCAGCCGGGATCTCAGAGCTGGAGTGAGCAGGACCGCAACAGTGTTACAATTATAGAACCCAAACAAACCAGATACCTGCTTTCAGTAGCCGAGGCCTCAGAGCTGGAGCCAAGCCTCAGAGCTAAAGCTGGCCCAGAATAAAAAAAAAAAGAAAAAAAGGACAGGGTGGGAGCTTCAGTCACCCGCCAGCCTGAAAACGGCCCTCAGCCCCTCACCCAGACTGGCCAGGCACCCCAGTGGGGACCCCCACCCTGATCCAGGACACCCTTCAGGGCAAACCAGCCGGCCCCCACCCGTGCACCAGGCCTCTATCCTATATAGTAAAAGGGTAATATGCCTCCCAGCACCGGAATCAGTGGAGCCACGAGGCCGCGAGGCCTCCTGGCACCGGGATCAGCGTGACGGGGCAGCGCCCAAACCCCCTGATCGCCCTGTGGCTCTGTGTGTGACAGGGGGCGGGGCCACAACCTCCCTATCCGCCCTGCTCTGTGCCTGATAGGGGGAAAGCTCCCCCAACCCCC